CTGTACTTCCGCAGCAGGACTTGAGAGAGGGACGTAATTTCACCCATACCTGTGGTGTAAGTACAGGGTGAATGGTTTTAGTGTGGTTTGATGATCAGTACCAGGCTGTGACTAAGCTTACCATGGGACTAAGCGTAATATTCAACTCCAGTGCAGTCACCTTGTGTGTCTGACTGTGTCTCTATGTTATCCAAGGAGTTTGTATTTACGTGTTTGGGTTGTGCCTTTCCTTCAGCTGAGCTCCTTCTAGTTCTGCTTCGATCCACCATTTAAAAAAAAATATAAATCTGTCTTTCACACAAAAAAGTAATATAATGTAATAACTGAAAACTTGTTACTTGTCATCACCATGGCTTTAGGAAGGAAACTGATGCTCATTTAAGTTGCATAAGATAGATAGCAGCTTTACCGAGGGAAGTGAGTGTGTCATGCCCAAGCCAGTGAGGGCTGGCTTCTTCAGGGGCCTTTAGGCAGACAGATGCATGGCAGGATTTTCTTCCAAGCATTTAGGCATTATGGATTTAAGTATGAGTTTGATGCATAAAGGTGATTCTAAATATTCTTCTAAGTAAGTGCCTAAGAGACCTTTGAAACACCGGTCTTTAACCACCGCTTTGTAATTTGCTATCTGAAAGTCAGTCTGTCATTGAAATATGGCACCTTCTTGTCAAAAAAAGTACAAAAGCTTCAAAAATGTGGTTTGACTTGCATCTGGTTCTCACTGTAAGGAGTAAGTGTCTTTAAACTGGCTAATAAGAGTTCACAGCTGATCTACAGCAACTGAAAAGAGCAAAACATGGAAGGAATAATGTACAATCGCTAGTGCTAACAACAGCAGAGTGATTAAAATTGTTTAGAAAGGATTTCTTTCAGAAGTAATGGTCCTTAGAAAGAGTTGGCCATTTTTTCCCCCCAGTTCTTAACTTGGGATATCTGTGGGCAATTAGTAGGTGCCTTTCCTTATTCTTAGGTGGAAGCTTGCTTTGATGTCTGTTCAATCCCAGTTTAGAGTATGAACATCTATGCGAAGATGATGGTATTAGCCACAGTCGACACAGCGTTTCTTCATACTCCTGGAACGCGAGCTTAGTCTGTAACGTACTGTAAAAAAGATAATCTTAGAAAATAATTATTTTTTAATCTCCGAGTAATAAAAACACTGTGTCAGTATGCCTGCGGCAGTGAAGGACTCGTCCTCTTGGCACAGTGCTCCTGTCTTGCTGCTTGTTGTCCATTTCATGGTAGCACTGGGTGATTGGTAGGCCTGGGTTTTGCTGGTGGTGTGGCTGCAGTGCAGCCCCTCCTGTTGTCTGGTGACTGTGGTGGGCTTTTACTGGATCCAGCAGCATCCCGTGTGAGACAGAGGACAGTCACTGGGTTCTGCACATTGCTGCGGTGTAATAGGGAGCTGTGGCACTTGGATGTGTTCATCATGTGGCATTTTTAATCATTCTCTAAGAAGATTCATCTCTTACTACTTCTGTAGCCAGGACTTAAATACATTATGCCATGGGAAAGTTAAATGTGAGACCAGTCAATTTAATTCTAGTGACCTGTTGAGGTACATGTATTGTAAACACCAGCAGGTGGTGTGCACGGTACTTTGAAGACATGGATTTTTAAGTACTATACAAGAAGATAGTTTTATTCCATTCCTCTTGACCAAGGTGTTCAAGAAAAGATGGTCTGGATAGTTTGTCTAATGTTGTTTGTGGCCTGGTATTCCTGCCTCATTTCTAACAATATTCAGGTAGGCAATCAAGGAGTATTAGGTCTCCTGGTTATCTGGCAGTAATGCTGGTAGAAATTGGAGGACATTCCCCAATTTAACATTTCCTAAAGGAGATAAAAACAGAATACAAAAGTTTTTGAAGTACAGGGGTCTTGGGTTTGGTAGCCCATGGAGGTGGAGTTTTGAATGACTAGGCTGTTGTCAGCTTCCTCCAGGCTACTGAAGGAGGTTGGAGGTACAGCTCGTGAAATGGGCAGTGCTGCTGCTGCTGGCGTCCCCTGCCTTGGGAGGCTGCTGGGGCTGCAGCTGGAGAGCAAAGCTGCTTCTGCTGAAAGATCCCTTGCTGATCTGACAGATCCCTTCTCGGATCCCTTGGCTGGCTGTAAGAGTGTTGCTGTTCTCCTGCAGCTCAGTCTTCCCACATTTGCTGAGATAGTTGCCAATTAAATTATTTTGTGGACTTGTAGGTGAGTCAGTCTGCAGTGTGATTTGCTGAAAACAGCATACATTAAAAAAATTACTATGCTGGTATTGTGAAAAAAGATTACTCCACAGTAATGCTGTTTCTTAGCAGGCTAAGCAGCATGGAGAACTAGTGCAACCCAAGTTAAGTTCAAAGCTATAGTTAAAGGTTTAATTGAATATTTGTAAATGTCAGTGCATTAGCTAAAGATAAAGGTCTTAATTCAAAACTGTGTTGAAGTTACTCAGAGAAGGCTTTAACCAACAGAGGAATTAATTGTTAGTTTGTTCTTGTTAGATGCTCTTGACTGGTACAGAGTTAACATAATCTCAAAGTCTTAGAGTAATACATTGCTGTAGAGAAAAATATATAATATTGTCTATCTGTATTTGCATAATACATATATTTGTGTAAAAACATGTGTCAAATCTCTTGAGTATTTATTTTCATATACTACAGAGGCAAAACTGTTGAAAGACCTGGAAGGAGATATCTGACCTTCTTTTTTCTCAAAAACTGCAGGGACTATATGTATTAATTTCTGTGGATGCATTCTCATTGTCTTGCAGTCTCTTTCTCAAACCTAGAAGCATTGTTCAAGTGGAATTTGAAGGGTTTGTATATTTTTCCAGAATTTCCAAACATCTGCAGTCTGCTCTGAGGAGCAGTTGCAACTGCACTGCTGGCTATTTGGCAATCTCAAGTACGCTTGCTGTGCGTATTCAATCAGATTCTACAGCGCATGCCTGGAAACTCCGTGTTTCCAGTAAACATTGGATGGAGCTGTGTGTGCATGGTATGCTCGAACAGCCTGAAGCGCTGGACTCGCTGAACCCATAGTACTTTGTGCATAAACACAAATTCTGGATAGGACTGCTGCCACTCTGCCAAAAGTCCTAGATCTTTCTTTGAACAAAGTTTTCCAAGGCTTTCAGTTTTTCCAAAGACTTAGCTTCTCCATCTGTGCCTTGGCCATGAAAGAATAGTCTAAAGATTCCGCCCCCCCCAACATACAAAGCATTCATCTGCCAAACTCTCTCAAGAGCTTTTCGAATGCCAGGCATTTGTGAAGTCTTTACTAGATGTGTGAGTGTGTGTGTTTATGTATATGTTATATATGTGTGTATACGTGCTTGGGTATAAAATAAACTATCATAGTAAATGCCTCATTCTTAATTGTCTAACTTGTTTGTTTGTTTGTTTCTTTTCAACAGGCAGAAATACTCAGTGTGCTCAGTCACAAAAACATCATTCAGTTCTATGGAGCTGTCATTGAACCTCCAAATTATGGCATAGTTACAGGTAAGGATTTTTGTCTGACCTTTGTCTGGATTCTGTAAAACTCCAATGTTACAATGTATTAGCTTTACCCAATTTCAGTGTTTTGCTAATTGTTCTGGCCTTCTTCGAATGTTAGAGTGGTCAGCCCCACCTGCCTCAATGTAAACGGGAGTGCTGGAGGTGGGAACCAGGCTGGGAGCATGGCTGGTAACAGCACAGAGGCAGTTGGAGCCTGGGGCGTTCTTAATGCACAAACTCAGCACTCCTTTAAATAGAAGCTTTCACTGTTCTCCTACCCTGTTCGGTGAATTGCTTTTCCATTTTAACTGATGTGTGACAGAAGAAGAGGTTTTAATGATACAAAAGTTCTGGCAAGTTCTGTGAAAAGGGAAGGCTGAGAGTCTGCTCAGAGCAAAGCTGCACCGTGAATTCTGCCTGTATTGAAAATAGGAGACTCTGCATTGGGAACTTCCCAGCTGTGGGAAGAGCTTGAAATAGAGTCAAGGGTTTATTAGACACCATAAGACAACTCCATTTATTCACTGGAAACTAGGTTTCATTTGTTCTGGCATTCCTAGAATTATGCGGAGGTCGGTTTTTGTAGTTTTGTTGGTGTTTGGGTTTGGTTTTTTTTTTTCCTATCACCACTTTAAGGTTCCTTCCTTTATCTTGGGAGTTGGTCCAGATATAAAATTGCATTACGGATAATGTAATTTCTCCCTTTCCTGTATGGGAGAAATTAGATGAGGTAGTAGTAGAAAATAAACCCAGAGCAAAGAAATCTCCAATCTGCTGAAATAAATGTTTGGAGAGGTAAGAGCCATGAAAGCGTGAATTAGGAGGCATGTTTTGGGATGTCTGTAACACTTGAAAGAGTTTGATGCGAAGAGTAGTTTTCGCATGTGGCACAATCTGATACCAGTTTGAAACACTGCCGTTCAGGTTTTTATTGGTTCTCAGGTGGTGGACAGAACCTGTGAAAATTCAGTTATTTCTACCTGTCTCTTAGACATCTGATTATTACAGTAGATGGCAGTGTATTCCGGTGGGAGTGCATCTGAGATACAGCACTGTTCAGAGCATGGGGAGCTTTACTTACAGGAGTTATCAGCCTACTGGAGGTCACGGTGTTGCAGCCAGTACTCCAGAGGTGCATGGGGGTGATCACAGTTTACACCACTCAGAGGATGCACTGGTGATAGCATATAGACAGGAACTTGAATACCTCCTTGAAGCAATAAAAATAATAGCAAGGTAATAAATCAAGTAATGTGATTTTACTATAATTTGTAACATAAGTGTAGTAAGTGTAAACTAGCAAGCAGAGTGACAAAGGAAATGTGTAATCAACAATTCAGGATGATATCTGGATTAGAAAGTCCTCAGTTTGATCTCACAAAAGGTCAGTGTTGGGAGAAGGACATTTGTCCTGCTTGCCAGTCACAGGACAGACAGCAGCTAAAGTAGTTCATTATGTCATTGGGAATGGGGACTCTAACCATCTGTGAGAAAGAGACTACTCTGCATAGTCCAAGCACTTTGTTACTCGGGGAGCTCTGATTCCACTCTGGCTAAAGATAAAAGCTTTTTTTAACAAACTGCATTGGTTCTCCCTGCAGCTTCCAAGGAGACTGGAGTGCCTTGGGTTGGAAGGGAAGCAAGCCTCTGTTTCCCCACACCATTTTCAAATGGGAGAATGGCTACTGAGGAAAGAAATGTTAATTACGTTTGAAATATCTTTTAGAGAGATTTTCACTCCATGATCTTCTGGATGGCCTTCAGTGTTGTGGACTTAGTCCTGTGTTTAGTCAGAGATCCATTTTTTGTGAGGGAAAAGCCCAAACAAGAAGAAATCCCGAGAACCTAATGATTCTGCAGAGTGATGGAGATGAGGGCATTCCGCCAAGCATTGGCATGTACCGAGCATTAGCTGCACATGACGTCTTACATGGGGTTGTCAGAGTTCTCTGAGAAAGGCTACATCTGCAGTCAAAACATGTTTCCCTGCTGGGATGTATGTCAGTGTTATAACTGATCATCCCGCCCTGCGAGCTGCTAACGTGGATCCCATCATTCTAGATGTCGCTGTCTGTCAGCAGCGGTCTCAATGCCTAGCTTTCAGGTCTGGTTTTTGACCACAGTTGCCTCCCCCCAAAAGGTTCTTGGAGCTTGTGCCCCCCATCTGCACAGAAGCGTATGGTGTATCCCACAGCCCATCACAGGGTTGGTCCAGTCAGGCATTCAGAGCTTTTCTTTCTGAAGCAAATACCTCTTTTCCATTATTGACAGAAAATTTATCCTTGCGATATGATTTCCAAATCCATAAGCTCCTAGTAAAAACCTGTGGCACAATAAATATGTAGAAGAAATACTAAAGGATCGAGCTTTGTTGATTGAGGCTTGCTTGCCTCCGTTCGCACAGGGTGGCAAAGGGCTCAGGGAGCTGAGTTGTCCCTGACCCTGGTGGATCAAATTATGCATTGTAAAGGCATGCAAAGCATGCAGCCGACCTATTCCTGAAGAATCCATTTATAAGACAGATGATGACATCATGGGTAAAAAAAGCTTATGTTTTAATTGAGGAAATGTGCAGGTCAGCAGCTTACTCCTCTTTTGGTGACATCAGAAGCAACACTTCTGTCTCCTGCAGAGGCTCCTTTCTGTGGGAGGTCCTGCAGTAATGATCCAAAACTAACTTGCCACTTGAGTGTTTACTTTCAAGGGACTTCCTATTTTCTCCCTCTTTCCTTTCATTCAGAGCTGGAATCTTCTGCCATGGCCTACCATGTTCTAGGCCGCAGAGTTTCCTTCCCCACGCAGCAATCTCCTCGTGGTTTTGATTTCCGTGATGAGGAGCAATGTTTACTTTTTAGGCCTATCGTGTATCATTCCTTGATTAATATTATTATTAACAGCAATTCAGATATATTTTATGTAGTCTTAGAGGGAATGGTTTTGTGACCGCTTTAAAATGCTGAAATTAAGCATTTCAGTTGTAGATTAGCTCGTTTGCCACCTTAGGTAGGCAGATTTTGGGAGTCTTGTAAGTAGGTTTTACATTCTCTAGACTGCCTGAGGAGCACAGTGAATAGCCTTGGGAGAGAGGGATGAAAGGCTTGAAGTTGCTCCTTGCATCCCTCTGGTCTTTGCGCTGCTTGGGCCACACCAGGTGGCATGTGCCCGCTCTGTCTTGGCAACCAGACAGAAGAAAATGTATCAGCTACTTCAACTCACAAACCTCCTGATGTGCTTTTGGTGAAACATGAATGAATAGTAAATAAGGATAAAGCTTATTCAGTAAATACTAAGCAGAGGAGCTACAGCCTTTAGACTGTTGAACATGACCTGCAGCACATAGAAATCTGGCCCACTTACCTCAGGGTCAGACCTCTAGTTTCCTCCTTCCATTTTTTCATGAATAAATGATTTGATCCGCTACTCTGTTCCTCCATGGGGAAATAGGAAAAGAAAATTTTAATTTCCCTTTCAACTTGCAAACCCTTTCTTCCTAACAGAACATTACATATTTAACATCTGGTTTTACTTTTAAAAAAAGAAATAAAATAATTATCCTTTGTTATGGGGCATCATTTATATGCAGTACTGCTCAGCAGTGGGGAATATCCTCCATCTTCAGAACCAGTAAGAAGGATCTGATACCACCAAACTCATTCATTAACTGCTCTCCTGATCAGTAGCAGCAAATTCACTGTTTAAATATGGGAGAATTTCAAGTTATATAAAAGTGGCGCTGTGGAGGTTTCAGTTGTCTCCAGTTTCACACCTAAATGTGTGTAGGTGTAACTAGCTTGTTATTCCAGCTTTCAGCCCTGCAAGCTGTGACAGTCGGACTGGATTCCATCTGTCACACTTGCAAACACCAACGAGCAAAAAAAGCCCTTGTTTCTACCCATATAATCCTGCTGTGGGTTTCTGTAGGTGTAGTTGAGAGAAGTTAAGAAAAAGGTTTGTTGATCCTGAACAAGGAGCATCCAGAACCTTTTACTCTGAAATTTGAACCGCTTTGCCTGAGCTTTCTTGAAGCCAGACCTTTCTGCTGCCTTTTCATTTTAATGCCTGTTGTTATATATGATTTTACCTTTGTTTTTTTAACCCTTAGCAGTAGATTATGTCTGCGTTGGGATAATCAGAGCAAACTACCACTCTCCTACTACACTACTAATAATATTAGCTGCTGAATCCAAATTCTCTGTCATTAAGCCAGAGGTTGACTGCTTTCTGGAACTGACAGAGTTTCCCTTAGATCTTTCAGTTTAGTTGCAATGTTTTAAAATGTCATGTGAGTTTGTTTGTTGTTGTTTTTTAACAGAGTATGCTTCTGCTGGCTCACTGTTTGATTACATTAATAGTAACAAAAGCGAAGAGATGGATATGGATCATATCATGACCTGGGCAACTGACATAGCTAAAGGTAAGCAAGATGAGTGGTGCATTGCTATCCTACACAGCCATCAAAGTGTACAGCTGGAGATGCTTTCCTTCTAAATCAGGAAAGCCTTCCTATACTTCCTCATTCACATTGTAAAAAAAAACAAAAAACAAAAAACAAAAAACAAAAAACAAAAAACAAAAAACAAAAAACAAAAAACAAAAAACAAAAAACAAAAAACAAAAAACAAAAAACAAAAAACAAAAAACAAAAAACAAAAAACAAAAAACAAAAAACAAAAAACAAAAAACAAAAAACAAAAAACAAAAAACAAAAAACAAAAAACAAAAAACACCACCACCAAAAAAAGCCCAAACCCACCAAACATAAAAAAAGCAAACCCCATTCACTGTGCTTTTTAATATGTTCCTTCGTTGTTATGAATCCGAAGTAATTTCTGGACTGAAAATGGCTTCTATGAGCCAGTTTTACTTCTGATTTGCCCCTAAGTCCCAAGAGGATAATTTTGCTGATGTAGAGTAATTATGAGGTAAAGTGCATAATTATCCTTACATTTAATTTGAATTGGGACATTTAAGGAAGCTAAGGGCTTATTCTCAGCAAACGTACTTAAATTCTTCATGTAATAATGCAGAACAAACTGTTTTGTCCTTTGTGTTCTCTGTGACCACACAAAAATTAGTGTAAACTAATGAATGAACAGTAAATTCGTATCTTGGCTTCTCTGTGTAGACAACACCTTTGAGGAAATAACTAAATATGATGTTATAAAGCATTAACATACCTGTATAGATACTCTGAGAGATAGATGAGCTTTGCTTAGTGTTCTTTACTCAAAGTAGATTATGGGAAGCTTTGCTTCTCCTGCAGCATATCAATATGGCATACAGATATGCCAGCTCATAATGAGGACAATTAATGGGAACCAGAAAACATGACTGCTGATAGTTGATGGCCACGCTCAGTCTGCCTAACTAGATTGTTCCCTTTTTTTGTGTAGGAATGCACTATTTGCACATGGAAGCTCCAGTTAAAGTAATCCACAGGGATCTGAAGTCCAGGAATGGTAAAGTAGCAAAACACTGAAACACTCTGCATTTACTGTTACCTATTAATGTAGCATTTAAATCTCTACCTGAGCTTCGTGAACATGCAGAACTAACTAATGCCTTCGCTGTCATCAGGCTGCACTAGGAGTTGTTGAGGCACAGAAGAGCCTGTTCCCCCCTCCCCATCCCGAGGCTGTCTGAGCTCTGTTACAGTCCCTGGCATCATTTAGAGCACTGTGGAGGGCTCTTTCAAGTTGTGTCTTGCTGACCATGATTATACCCATCTTATCAGCTGTCAGACATTGCCTGGGCACTCCTCACTTCCTTTTTCTATTTGGAAAGGTTGAGTACCAGGAAAGGCTGGCAGACACCAGACACAATAGACTGGATAAGGCCTATTATTTCTTATCTGAAAATCTTGTCTTTACTGTGGCCTGTTTTGAGGTTTGACAGATATTCATGCTTTTGAGTAATATGCACTCAGTGTGAAGCTGCACTGGTAGTCTGTACTTGGCAGCTGACGACCATTTATGAATTTGCTGAACATTGCCTTTTAACTGAAACTTTCACTACTAATAGTGGGATAGGAAGGACATGGATTTTAATAATGCACGCGGGGAAATAATAGTCAAGAAAAGTCTAGATCTCACCTCAGTTGTACGTTTTCTCTTTTTATTAATGAATCTTTCAGAGCGCTTCTTGTTAAGCCTAACTACATTGGGGAGGGTGGAGTTTATCTGTATTTTAGCTATAGTTGTGTTGATATCTTTGAACTCAGTAAGGCCTGAAAGGTTTTGCGTTTGTTCAGAGGCTTGCAGGTACTCAGCAGATGTTCTCTAAAGCTTCTCAAAGAAACCAGGACAATTGTGTGTGTGCATGTTCAGGTGCTGGCTCACTGTAGGATCATTTCTCTTGATAAAAAGCGAAGTCTTTTGCTGTGAAAATGTATTGTGTTTATTTTTAATAGCGTTCTTGTAACCTACTGTTTTTTCATTTTCAGTTGTTATAGCTGCTGATGGCGTGTTAAAGGTATGAACGCTTTAATTATTTGTAGAGAGGTGCTGCTGCTTGACTCGATGTTTTGATGCCTAATAAATGAGGATGGTACTCTAATATCTGGGGTTTTTTTATTTATTTTTGCCAGATCTGTGATTTTGGTGCCTCAAGGTTCCACTCCCATACAACACACATGTCATTAGTGGGCACTTTTCCATGGATGGCCCCAGAAGTTATCCAAAGTCTCCCAGTGTCTGAAACATGTGACACATACTCGTATGGAGTGGTGAGTGCCTCTCATTTCCCTATGCGTAGCAGCAAATCTCTAGTGCAACACAAGTCATGTGATGGAAGAACAATTCTAAATAAGGACAACAACAAAATCACACTTTCTTTCAAGACTGACCCACAATTTATAATTACATGCTTGAAAATGATAGGAAGAACAGTGTCTTGCATGTTTAGTAAGATCCTTATCTGATTAGATTAGCAGCATGCCAGTGTGGGAAGTGCATGCTTTACCACAAGTATTCAGCATATGTCTGAAGGCTTGGAGGAACCACTGAACAATCTGCATCATGAGTCGCTGCTTGTGTTCATTAGTGGAACAGAAGAGAAAAAGGTGGTCTTGCAATAGGTGTATAACAAGATTAAGTGATTAGGATCCCACTTTCCATAAAATGGAGTGTCACTGATTTTATATTAAAAAGTAAGCCACTTCTCCATGCTTAATGGTTTAAAAGACCCTGCTGTCATTAACTGTGAGAATAGAGACTGTACCTCTTGTGGAGGTAAAGGCTCCATCTAAAAATATAGAAAAGGCCAGCATTGCTTTGCCATTTTTCTGAAGGGGGAACAATCAGTTATAGTTCATCAGAATGTCAGGTTTGCACATGCAGTAATGTGAATTATTTCACTCTGTCCACATTTAAACTCTAATTTGGTTTTACTCTGCAATACAAAATAGGCTAGAAATAGCCCTACTGGTCAGACCAATTGTGTGCCTAGCTCCATAGCCCTTCTCTGACAGAGAACAGTAATGAATATTTTGGGGGGAAAAAGGAAAGGATGCGGGGTTGTAGTTTCCATGCATATCTGTGTATTAACCATTTTTGGTTTTGGATTCAACAGTGGGCGGTAGAACGAGGAAATATTTCAGTACCTCTCAAGTATTGCCTCTTTGAGGGATGGGAGGAGATAGATGTGAGGGAGGCACTGTGGTTTTAAGCTAGCACCTATGGCTATACGTAGCTAAGCTGATCTCCCAATGGAAGATGAGTTAAACTTATTGCCAAACAGTTGTTTATAGTGAAATAAATATATGAGAGATGATGTGGAGTCGCTTACAAATGAAAGGTTGAACATTTGCAAGGAGGGAGAAAAAGCCTATATTGGCAGATTCAAAATCCTTGCTTGCTTAACTGAACTAGGTCACAAACAGTAAGAGAACATAGGCTAACAAATGTAAATGTTAATGTAAACTGTTACTGGAAGCAATCACATATTATCCACTGCAGGGAAATGTTCCAGTTTCAAAACAAAGCAAAAACGTTAGAGGAGAAATTCCAAACATGGTCTTATAGCTCAAGCTGCTCACATAGTCAGCTTGGTGTGAATTGACTTTAAGTAACATTCTAGAAGTGGGAGAAGGTAAGAAATTGTTTAATATCTTATCACGTCAAGTATTACCAGAGCCTTGGGAACAGTATGTCGCACATAGTTTATTTTCCCTCGTCCAAAAAATAAAGCTCCTTTGACAGTTCTGTGCTTGGAGGTAAAACTCAACTACCCTTCATATGAAAACAGTTCAGTGTTACTAGAATATTTTAATGTGGTTACAGGTGTATAGTGCTACTTTAGTATGCCTAATAATATTTGACCCACATTTTTTTATTGCTTTTGAGCTAATGTGTTCTACTGTGGGTAGAAGCTTATGAATTCATAAGCACGTAGAAACGAATTGGTCTTTTTATAACTCCAGTCTTGAAACATCATGGGTTTCAGAGGAGATACAGGGGTAGAAATGAAGAATGGCGGTGGCCTGAATTCTCTGTCGATGAAATTACTGACGTAATGGGATTATACCAGCAAGAAATTGTCCGAATATAACACTGAAAGTTGGAATGTCCCTATAATAAGTGTTAGACTATCAGAAAATTAGCTAGGAGACTGAAAACAAAAAATCTTAAAGGGTATTTTTGTCTCTTCAAATGATTATAATCTATAAAAACAAAATTTAAAGAATTGCTTTTCAAAGTGTAACATTTGCCAGCAGCTTTTGTGCTAGAGAGGCAAATCTGCTTTTCTTCAGTTAAAGTCCTGTTAACAAAGAACAGAATCCTTTCAAATGTAAACTAGTAAGATGCTAGGAATAGATACTCCGTTGGCAATATTTGTCGCCTTCCCCATGGTTTTCTTTAATTTCTTTTCTGCTATTTTTTTTTCTGACTGGCTTTTCTTTCTACAAACCAGCCTGTGATTTTAAATATTCTGCTTAAGGTGTTCGAGAGCTTTTTTCCATGAAGTGTCAAAGTCTTTCTGCAGCCTTATAGGTCTGAGTTGCTCCTCAGCTGAAATGAATTTTCCTCTTTGTGAACAGTTGCATACATGTTTATAGCTAATGTTCAGATTAGTTTGTCCTGCTCTTCATGGATGGTTAAACAGGTCCATATATTCTCTTTGAGATATATAGTAAATAATTTATAATACTGCCATGAAATGCTAAAGCTAAATGTTTCAGGAGATTTATTACAACACAAAGACAGATCTTGTGCTTTCCTTCAGCCGTGCTGTGATTCTCTTTTCTAATCCATTTCCAAATCCCTACTCTGAACAACAGATACCAAGTGTTACAAGTGATCAACCCAGAAATGGACTCGCATGTCATTGTGTGTGTTGCTCAAAAATGATTCCTCGCTTCTCTTCCAGATATGAAAGTGTATGTGGAATGACAATGCTCACTCTAAAAGCTGTTTTGAAATCATGAAGATAAATGCTCAGAATATGTTATCCTGGCAAAATTGTTTGTAATCCACTGCAGTGTGTGTTTGTTTATCAGTATAAATGTGTTTAATCATAGAAAGCTTATGCGATGTAGCTGAATTATTTTATCACTTACAAGAACAAAAAAAGGAAAACCATTAATTGGCTGCTGGTAGCATAGAGGCTGACGTTAAATGTAGCAACTGTTATGCTCCTAGCAATAGTTCATACATTGCTTTAGCTATGAGAACATACGTTATTTATAGAGGGAATGTTGGCCAGCTCCAGGGGTTATCCCTTACTCTTTTTGAAAAGAATTATGAGACCTTTAACTTCCACTTGGATCAATGCAGAGAAGACTGACCTAATTTTCATGCCTAAGGGGGGCAGTACCTCTAAGAGTGCAACACTTTCTGCTCGTGCTGTACCTCTGCTAATTGTGGCTTCTGACCCTCATCTGTGAACACTTCCCTACCAAGAGAAAACATTTCTTTTTTTCAGTGAAGATGTTCAGAGTGTTTGTTTTTTCTCAAATTACTCATTTGGATGTTCCCTATTCTGTATGGCACTTTGAATCTTTCTTGGCTTTTGTTGTTTTGTTTTGTTTTTTTTTTCCTTTTGGTTGTTGTCACATAGTTGAGAGGATAAGAATTGAAACACAGAGCTGAGCTGACAGAAGTAAGTGTGTGAGCTTTTTCTGAAGACCATATAATTCTTATTTTCAGCTCCATGTATAGAACGAACATTCATATATTTGTCTCTCCTTTCTGTTTCTCTGTATGCAAAGAAGAGCCCAATATCTTCAGAGGCCACAGCTTACAAACCACTACATTAAATGATCTTGATTTATTTTCCATCGTTGTGTCTAGCTTGGCTGTTTGTCTGTGAGCACCTGCTGTCCGTCATCACAGAGATGTGATGTGATCAGGAAAGCAAGTGATCCTCACCATCAGAGATGGGAGGGGAAGTGAACCATGTCAGCCTCAATTAAATTGCACCAGAAATGGAAGATAGATTGATTTCCATATGAGGTGAGCTGGGGAGCCAGTTCTGAAAATGAACAGAGTGTATCTCGCAATAAGGAGGCTGGGATAAGGCAGGTTGAGGTGCTTTTTCTGCTGCTGAATGATTCTGGGGAGAGGAAGAGACAAATGGGGATGCAGAAGATACCCATTTGCTGCTTTTTAAAAGATTGGTAATGCAATCATGCACCCTAGCTGATGATTCAGGGTAGCTAATCCATGAGATGGGCTTGAAGCTCCTATAAAACTGAACACAGAGACATCTCACCATTGGAAGGAAAGGCTTTATCTACACCATTGGCCTGAATATGAAATATGCATTGTTGTTAGAACATTTTCTAAATGTAAATAAATACAAGGATTTCTGGCATCCCACTTTTGTATCTTTTACTTTCTTCTACTATTAGTAAAAAACAAGGCATTAAGAAAAATTCTTCGTATTGTGTCAGGTTGCTGTTTTTCTCTTGACTATGTGCAGTCTTGAAGTGTTTTAAGCTAGCACTGTTGGTTTAGGAAGGCAGTGATCCGTACAGGCAGTGGAAATAAACACTAAAGGTGTCATGATAAAGGAATTCAGTGCAAAATGTTCTGCACGAACTTATGTGCATGAATGAAACGAGACAACCCTTACGATTTACAGTCTTCTGAAAGAAAGATAGCAGAGCAGTAGAGTTTTCCAGCTCAAGGCTCTTGGAGACACTTCACATGTATTTCATTATGTTCTTTACTTGGCAGATGTGTTTAGATACTGCCCTATCTGATGTGCAGACTTGAGTTTCTTCTCTGTGGTTTCATGGTGCAGCTGTACAGATGAGGTGGTTCTGCAAGGCTGCTCAGCTGCATGTTTGATTTAGTCCAGGGGCTTTTGTTTTAAACTGGCTGTTTTGTACATGGCTTTTTTTGTCTGAAGTACATGGGACTGCTAAATTATTTCCTTCTCTCACAGCTAAATTTCCTTGTCTACCAGTAGAGAGGTGATAATTGGAATTACAAATTGAGATGCCTTTTTTTTTTTTTTTTCTTCTAAAAGGAATGAATTGAGGCAAACAGGAGAGTTGAATACCTCTATGATAGCTTTCCCCATATATTTCTTATTCTCAGGAAAGCTGTCCTTTTACTTACTTTTCCAAGATACCCTTACCTTTACTAATCAGTCTTCTGACTCAAGCAGAATTATTCAAATAGGTCTATTGATGGAGTACCCTGTTCACTTGATTAAAGGCCCAACTCTGCTTCAATGCATTTTTTTCTGCTTGAGCTGCATCTGCCAGTATTCTCGCATTTTCTTTCTAATTACCTTCATAGCTGGCCAGAATCCATTCAAAAGGATGTAACTGGAATAAGCCTGGGTACTAACTCAAATAGTGAGGATATAGAGACTTGCATAAGGATCTTAATACATTGGGTCAGATCCGACGTAAATGATGTCTTTTTTGTTGTTATGCTTGGTATATGAGCATAAGAAAAAGTTTGCGTGTAGATATTTCTAACAAGATACATATATGAAAGTTCTGATTTAAAAAAAAAGAAGAGAGAAAGAGAGAGAGAGAGAGAGAGAGACAAGTGAAGGTACAGAGTGCCTGTTAATTTGGTTGAACTCCAATGTGTAGTCCCAATGGCAGAAAAACTAGTTGGATTCATTGACTTGAAGCCTTTTTGGTGATGCCAAACTCTTTTCTACAGAGTAGCTTAGATTCTCAGGTACTGTGTTACCAAAATGCTGAAAGCATGCGAAATTAGGAAATCTTTCTATATCTAAGGACAGTGTGTCTGTAAGATATTGAGGAGAACAGAGTAATTTTCTATATGCTGTATTTTGTTCAGTTTAATATAATCATATACTTGGAGATGAACAATTACAGTTTTGCTTGCAAAATTATATTTAATATTTTCATAGGTATATCATAGGAGCAAAATACTTTTTGGATCATATTCTGACTACTGAGAAGCACTAGTTGCAATCATATAGAAATATTTTTAAATGCAAAATGACTACAAAGCAAAGATGTGTCTAGCTGGGGCTGAGAAGGAGAGGAGGAGTCCCTTGTCTTCCCAAGTCTCAACTGCCAAATGTGAACTTTATAGTGTACAAAGGAAGTAAAAAGCATTTTCCATGGCTCTCACAAAATTGCAGGCATTAGACCCCACACAACCCAGTTTTTCATCTCAGCTTTTCTGTAGAGGAAAAAGCAGAAACATTCAAATTAATTTAGTGAGAGGATCTTGCACACAAACACTGGTCCAAGTTCCTGCAAATGGAAACTGGTTGCCTGATAATTGGATACAGAATAGTGCTGTATCAAGGTTTAATAATGTATTTAAAATACAAAGTACAGAAATAAAAATTCTTTTCTTTTTTTCTGTTCCAGGTTCTCTGGGAGATGCTAACAAGGGAGGTCCCCTTTAAAGGCTTGGAAGGATTACAAGTAGCTTGGCTTGTAGTGGAAAAAAACGAGGTAAGACTACGTTTCTACATTCAGGTACATAGATCAGAAAACAGTATTGGGGTTTTGCAAAAGACTTTTTCATCTTCTTCAAATTGAAAGTAAGTTCACGCGTATGGAAAGATTAGCAGTAGGAGCTAACACAAAGGGTCAAAGTGATGTTATTCCTCATGAATGGACCCTTTACATCTAATTGTTGCAGCTTCACGTCGTGATGCTGTAGATCAAAAATTGTACAAGTACTGTACTAGTTTCTCAGTCTCAATTGTAAAACCTAGGGGTTTGTTCTTAGTGATGAAAGAAGCCATTGCGTCCAAGGTAGGGGAACAGTTTAACTCCATCTCCTGCGTTTAGGACATCTTTTTACTGGCCGGGAGTTGATATATCTGTAAGAGACCTTCAGCTACTTCAACTTAACTCTCCCAGCAGGAGTCACTATAGTACAAGAAACTGCCGCTTAGATGAAAATTTCAAAAATAAAAGAAGAAAAAATAGTTTTAAAAAAAGAGAGAAATTACAGTTTTGCCACCTACGTTCAACACTACATTGAAGATGAGCTCCTCACTGGTATCGGCAAGGCTGTGGCATAGCTGCAAGCCTCCTCACGCAGAGTCTTTCCATTTCAAAAGCACTTCAGTGGTGTAAACACCGTTTGTACAGTGTCCCCAGCCTCGCTTTTCTTCTTCTCACAAATTGAGGCTTTCAGTTAGTTGGACATGTGAGCGTATATCTGAACACATAGTCCCTTGATATCAAAGACAGTAACTACATTTAAAAAACATTTAAAGTTGTGACTGTACCACACACAGACAAGCATGGAAATCCTCCACAAAGATGAAACCTCCTCTATCTAGACACAGCGGAAAGCTTGGGAAACATTACAATGGCGAGGCAGTGGCTGTACAATACAGATTCCTATTATTCTACATAAACTGTTTCTCAAAATGCTTCAGAGTTAAACAGAGGAGTTAGGTTTCCTCCTCTTAGTTTAATGTTTTTTGTTGGTGTTTTTTTTTCCCCTCTCTTTTTTTCTTCTATTTGAGGACTGGATTAATTCCAGTGAGTGATGCTGTGATATACCGATTAGTTGGAAATGCTACGCTAACAGAGTGAAGATTATGAATGTGGTCTTCCACAGCGTTTATCAGAGCAGGAGGCACAAAGAGACACCTTCGCCTAGTTTAGGAAAAGCCTCATACATCATTTTGAAGGAGGAACCATAAAGCCTTCCATCAACAGTATTTGTTTCCTATGCCTACCACGTGCAGTTTTATGTAAGGGGTACAGAGTGGCATTGGGAATGTTGTAAAGAGGTGTAGTTATACACTGAAAGATGTCAGAGGGTACAACACACCTACAGTTTCTCTACAGTTTTCCGGAGCAAGGAACTGCGTAAAATACAATATGAACGAAATGTGGACATGACGACTATTTTACTTATGGCTGAAAAAACGTAAGGGGTGACATTTTCAGAGCCAGCTGATCTGCCAGGTACCACCAGCCTGTTGCTACCATCTTCTTTGGAAGGGTGCCACGGAGCTTAGAGGGCATTAACACTTGCTTACATAGTTTTTATTTTTTCTGGCCATGACTTAGAGAACATGCCCAGCATAAGCCTCGTAATAGTCAGCTTGTGCTACTTTTCTTCATAGTTTCTATGTCCCAAAGCAAGTGTGAGGGTCAGGTTCTGCTCTCAGTTCAATCTGTTGACATCATTGGGGTTGCATGGTTCCAGTTCACAACAGAATTGAATCACTTTTGAGCCAGTCCTTCATTTTTTGGACTGCAAGTCTCTTGTTAAAATCAGTGTGGGACTGAGGCCAAAGCGTAATTGTGTAGGGTGAAAAATCCCCCCTTTGCAAAGCCTGAGCCCAACAAATGAAGTGGATTTTAATGATTCTGCATGGGTCTTTTTCGACTCTCTGCATAATTTCACAGTGTTATTTTTATCCTGGTGGAGTTTCTATGAAATTATATATTTTTTTTAATCCAAAAAATTAAAACATGAGAGTTCAGATTATGCTAGGTGTGATCTCATAATAAATTACTGCTGAGAAACGTCATCTTTATTATAATATGACACTTTTGGAACCTGCTACTTCTATACTACATGACAGATAACATTCTGCACAAATGAGACGTATATAAATGGTGATTGCAACTGATTTTTCCACCTCCTGGAACAGTGAGGGTTACAGACAAATACTGTAGCAAGACTAGCCAGTGTATTTTTAGGCTAATGACTCAACCAGAGATCAAGCACCAGTACAATTTGTTTATGCATTGTACAAATTTCTGTGTGTTTCTTGCACAGAAAGCTTTGCACCTTAAGGTATTACATTATTTTAATAATCATACTCCTGCAGTGCCCTGGCTCTGTATCTCATATTTCCAGTTTTCATGGTGTTCAAATGCTTGTGGAGCAGAATTTAACTCTTACTTTGGCTGCTGTGGCTTGTAAGGCTTTGCAGGTCACATTGCAGTAATATAATGGTACAATTTGACACAACTTGCTTTGCTTTGCTCCTGAAATAGCAATAGCAGGACAGATCCAAGGATCTTCCTGGCAGGTTGGTCTGAACAGGACTGTAATACCTGTTCTCACCTGTTACAGGACAGGGAACCCTTTTTCCGGCTTGACCCCTCTTATATTTGGACTCATTTTCACTGAGGAACTGTTTTTTATCTACATATTTTTTTAATTTAGTATGAAACATCCGAAAAGAGTTAACTGCCTTAGCGAGAGCAGAGGGACCTCCTTATATGTGTAATGTTGTTGGGATGCACGTTTAATCAGCTGGAGAGGCTTCAGCATCCGTGCGTGTATATGAGAAAGGATTTGCTTTTAGGCTTTCCAGTCTGGAGGCAGAGTCCTTAAACTAAAAGTCCTCTGAGACTGGCTGAGGGAATTTTTTCATGGTTTGAAACTCAGCAAAGGAAACCAAACAAGCTTCAAACTATTTCTCTGTAGTCAGTGCTCCTGGCTATAACCAGCAACTCCTTGTTTTCAGTCATCAGGAAATATTTATATGAGTTCACTGTGCTCTGTGAGTGCTTTCTGAGATCTGCATGTTCTCATTAATCCTTCTGACCACAGGCTCATGAAACATCTCTTGTGTCATGTAGAGCTTCACTTAACTCTTTTTAACTCACTTAATGTAATCTATATTCCAGCCATTTGTTATATCAAAAGTGATTATAGTATTGTACAGCTGGATCATCTGTGTGGGAGAAAGGAATTAAGGCAGGCTGTATGTTACACCTATCTTGACAAGCATCTTAGAATACCATGCAGTAACCTTCACAAACTATTCCGTTTTAGTATTAAAAGCTGTTTGCCTCGTTTTTACTTCCTTGTCTCCGAGCTTTCTTAAGGAACTCCATTTGTACATTTGTTCTACTTCTTCCTTATAGGTCTATTAGTTAATTGTACGTCTTGCTAGTGTTAGTAATTTTGATTTTTCTTTTTAATGTGTCAATCCTCAGGTTTTATATTGTGTTTAAAAGAAAGAAGAGTGTGTTTTGCTTCTTTTAATTGCATTGCTCTTACAGGAAATCTATTAGTAGCAGCTTAAAGGGAAATGCTTCCAATAACTGGTACATTCTCTCTCCGTTAGAGATTAACCATTCCAAGCAGTTGTCCCAGAAGTTTTGCAGAACTGATGCACCAATGTTGGGATGCTGATTCAAAGGTAATTTAATTTGTGTTTGATTTCTGCACCACCACCCCCTGCCTTGTTTTGCTAAGTGTGTTAGCATTTCTTTGTCTGACAGGTCTGAGCTAACACCATTGATGCATGCTAATAGACATATTTCTTCACAAAGATAGCTGGGACTGTCTTTTTTTAATGGGTTTACGTATTTATGCCTAAATGTCTCT